ATTAGGACTGTATTAAGGCAAAGTCGTAGTTAATAGTGAGAACTATTACTTAAACTAAAGTGTGACCAAATAATCCAATCAAGTCATATTTATGCTTTATGTCATCTTTTCACGTGCAGTTCTGGTTTCTATTCAGATTTCCCTTTGTTAGTTCTTGATTGTGTGCATCTGTTTCTTGTTAGTCTTTTTACCCCGTGTGTGTGTATATAGCCCTTGTGTTTCCTATGTTCCTTGTGAGGTCTTGTTCATGGCTGTTGTGTATGGTCAGCCTAGTTCTGATAAAATAACGTCTACATTTTACAATGTTTGAAGATTTTTGTAGAAGAAATTTGAAGAAGAATTGAAACTGCATGTGCATAGGTCAGCAGAACCGCACTGATCCGGTGTTTGAAACACTGAGAGTGGGTGTGATCATGGCCAATAAAGAGAGGAAGAAAGGCTCTGAGGACAAAAAGAATGTAAGTGATCACGTTCTGCTGTCAGGAATTATCAGACATGTACCTGAGCTCTTACTGTTATGAAGAATATCATGAACATGTATCTTTCTTAAGATGATGATGATGATGATGGAGGAGGAGGAAGCTCAACAACCGAAGGAGGATGAAGAGGGTGGTGAAGGTAAGTTAAAGGTCCCATATTGCCAAAACTGAAATTTCCTGGCTTTTTTCACGATAACTGAGGTCTAGGGGCTATGTAACTACCATATAAGTTTCAAAACAGTCAGTCCCCAGTAAACTGCACACAGCCTGCTTAAAGTAGCTGTGATTTTTCACGAACCGTTGAGACTTCCGTAAAAAGTTGACGTCAGAACTACACAGTCACAGTCTTCAGTCACCACCCCGAGCACCGCCCACCGTCCCACTCTCCTTTAGCCAAACCCCAGACAACAGCAAGTCCATGCCATTGCTGAGCAACAACAACACGGAAACATGTGGAAAAAGTTAACTTTAACCACGAAACCAGATCGGCCGACCTGTAACGTTACACTCTCACTCAAAGGATGGAGGATCTGACAGGATTGTTACTATGAGGTGATCACATCTAACGTGTAAAGTATAGTAAAGACAAACTCACCGTGTCTATCTAGTCATGATGATGTATATATATATTTCAATTTCAGCAGGCAACTGCTACATTATTGTTCCAGCCACAATTAATCACAACAATGTATATACAATTACAAATGATTATATATAAATCGTCAGTGACCCTAGTTACCTGTGGTTGGCCTGGCCATGCGTCACTCAGAAAACAACAGGCCAATCAGAAGAGAGGCTCATGAATATTAATTGACAGACCAAAAACCTGTTCTCAGCAGAGCTCCTGAGAGAGGAGCTGTAAAAAATAT